CAGYCTTTCCTCACAGGACAGGAACTCCATCCTCTCCTGGTTGAAGGCTAAGAGAACACACATTAGAGTTTGGTGGAGATGCACTCTAGACAACAGAAACAACTATAAGGATGATATTTTGTCATTTCAGTTCTTTRAAGTAAACACAGCTATGCACTATAAGCAGATTATGGTTGCAATTATCTGCCGTTAAAGTGAGGAGGATATCACAGTCAAATATCTCCTTTACTACTTCCTGAAAAAAAAATCTCATTTAATTTTTGCTACATTTGATAACCTTTGCTAGGATTAGCAGTTCACCAGCTGAACACAGGCTAACAAAGGAATAAATTAAATGAGTTCATGCCAGGATATGTGAAACAATGAGAACAGTGAACCTCAGTAGCAAATTAAGCACGCTAAATTGGCATGCAAATATAAACCTCTTACAGAAGCAGCAGAAGTTATTAAAGCAGCAAAGCTGTCCTCCAGCTTTCCAAATTTAACTAGAATCGTGCAGGATTCATAACAGCACAAAAGATGTCATACAAAAAAAATTAAGAAGCACCAGATATTGTCAGGCTTCCAGCATACTTTCCTGCTGTTGGGAACAGAATCATCCCTCATGATTTTACAGACTGAAGCTCATTACTTTGATCAGCTTAGGCTATAAGTTTGCAATAGCCAGAGCTATTTCTAACAAATCATTTTGGCATTTCCTAGGAATACACAGAAAAGAGAATCAGCCATTCTTGGTTGCAACCATTTCTTCTTTCAGATAAATGTTTATTCCATTTATTCAGTTTGTTTGCTTTCTCCTTTTTTTTCCCCTTGGCAAGACTTCACAAACATTTTTGAGGAAGAAAAACAGATTTAAAAATCATTATTAGAAGTCAATGCTGACTCTATATTAGAAAGAATTTTACTGAAAGTAGGMAAGCATATAATCTTGTTATGAATAAAACTAGCCAAACTTCACACAACTWTGGGATGTACCTGCAACTTGGGAAAGGCCGTATCTAATTTCTGCTGTTTCTTGTTTTGCATTTTCACTAATATTTTGACATAAAAGCCTGCATTGTCGCCCTAATTGCATATTTGTACTCTTAAGCCTTGGAATTTGCATCCCTGCATGACCATCTCCATTCAGAATTTTTTTATCTCAAAGTTGACTCTATTGAATCATTTACATGCCCAGTTACATCATGGGAAATCATGCAAGTCTTCTGTGAGACACCATTGCTGCTTTAAGTTTTGCCAAAGACTGCTGCCAGGATCAACAGAGATTAAAAAGTTCTTTGTGGATTTAGTAGTGATTGTTCTCCACAGAGAACTCTATCACCATACGAATTTTTTAAGAAAGAGAACAGTTTTTGATGCCAAAAGACTGCATAAAATGGAGATAAATGAAAATGCATTTCCTTTTTGATAATCTTATGCAAATATCAGTCCACTTACATCAGTGGTGTAGCCTGCACAAGATGAAAATCCATCAGCTTTTMTTTTATTGAATGTAAGTAATTAGTTTTTAAATCACTATTTTTTTTCTTTCATTCCTTTTTATTTTTGCTGTAGCTACTACTGCTTAAAGTTACTCAAATATATTTGGGGTTTCTYTTTCCATGTGAAAGCCCTAGTTAAAAAGCTAAATAACCCTGAAATTTATTTGATATTCCTTGCTCCTCTGTAACTCCTATCAAGATGAAGCAAACCTTCTTAGGGACTGAATAAGGTTTGAACAGATTGTATGGATTAGGATGACTCTATGCATTCTTTTATGTATCTGCTTCCTCCCTCCAGGATGGATTATCAAAAGTTTAAATAATGGCAATGTTTATAGTCTGGTGATCTTCATAATGCACAAAGGTAAGGCACCTTCTAATTAGTTCTGATTATTGAAAATACCTTTCTGATGCCAGAAGCAGGGAGAAAGGTGCTCCTTGATTTCCTCAATGAACATAAATAACACGTTTTATCCTGAACTTTAACCAAGAGTTCCCTATGAGACACCAGGGCAATTCCGTGTTGTTTCCAGGAGCTCCCTTGGCTAAGAGGGGAGCACAGACCCCCCTTGTGAGCACACAGACCCCAGGAGAGCTGCACAAAAACACTGTTCCTGCAGACACAWCGGATACTCTGCCTCCTTCGTAAAGAGTCCAGCCCTTGCTTTGACACTAATCCATTTTATTTGTTAGTTTGTTTTTAGGAAGCTTCAGTTAAAACTTGGAGAAAAAAATTGACCTATTCTATAACATTCAATTCCACTAAAAATACAAATAAGAAGACTCCAATACTTAAAAGTCCTTTCCTCCACAGAACAGGTGTTCCTGGAATGAATGGTCTAGCTTTTCATTTTGGATTAGCCAATACACCTTSTATATTGTACAATTAGCCATTTTCTAATTTATTACATTATTTTTCTCTGTCCTTTTGTTGCATCCTCAGCATGCATTGCAACACCATTGCATTCCCACAGCTCAGAGAAGAGYCATCAACTAAGGAGTGCTAATTTACAAACTCACTGTGACACAGAAATACCAAAATGTTCTGAGTCTCAAATGAGAACAGTTGCCAGGGTCTTCAGACATATAAAATATTTTCTGTAGGCCRTGATGTCTGACATAAATACACTGCCAGAGTAGGGTCAGCCAACTCAAACCCATAAATAGCAGAATGGTGGCAGAAAATGTTAAAAACAATTAMAATACACATGTTCTTTCCCCCTTAGGACAAAAGATTCTCATCACGTTCCTTTTTGCTATGCCAGAAATATTTAACTGATTCATGTTTTGTGGTACAAATTACATAAAACAGTTTCTGTTCCTGTTTCTGGGCAGTTCATTTTATGTAACACAGATCCATGTGAACCAAAGTATTCTGATCTCTAKAATTTCCTTATCTCTAAATCTTAACTACCACAAATAGGCTTCTGCTGGGGGCCCAGTGGGATACAGTTTCTAACAAACAAATTTAGGAAAGGTCTGAAGACAGACTGACTTGTATCTCCAGTGTTCTTTGCGTACRTCGCTGCTTTCCTTCAAGACTGAAGCATATATTTGCACCATGGAAAATGAAGGGAACAGACTGGTTTCTATCTTAACATCATCATTACAGGGAAGTAATATCCAAAAGGAGAAAAGTGACGTGATGGGGCAATGAGTGATCCAACAAGAAATTCACAATAAAGGACAGGGATCACACTGCAGGCAAGGCTAAAAAGGGAAGCAACCCTAAGTGCTATCTATAGATAGCCCTAAAGTGGGAAAAACCAGAATGGTTCAAGTCACAAGAGGTCATGCAGAAATGCTGCCTTCCACTTTCAGAAGCAGTATGTTCACATTGGTGGGACTTATGCCTGAACAATCCACACAGTCAAAATCAGTTTAAGTCATGGATATTTTTTTTCTCTACAATCATGCTATTGCTTTTTACATACAAAAATTGTTAACAAAAAACAAATTTCAAAATCTGAAGCATGCGTATTCATGGAAACTAAACAGATCAGTAACCAAGAGAGACAGTGACCTGAATTCCACCCATTCTAAATAGGACCACGCCTCACACACAATGATTTTGTGTCAGTGCCTGTGGGGATGACAGAATTCTGTAGTTCAGTACACGCAATGCACTCAATACATTGGAAGTGGGTGAGCAGTAGGTCCCTGGCAAGCAGTTCTTAAAAAGTCAGCTGAAACCTTTCCTTAGCCAATGACATGGCCAGTCTTATTGTTCTGCTCATGATACCTTGGAGAAATACTCCACAGCTTGGAAAATATGCATTTTTAAATCACCTAAGGATAAACATACATAGTGCACAGTCCTGTGAAGAGAGACATGTAAGAAGCAATAGAGCTTTGTTAAYGGTGTTTCTGATTACACTAATAAAYATGAGTTCTCAGCTGWATTATTTCCTGCTGAAGAAGTATTTTAGCTTATTCTGAGTTATTACAGATCTCTGAAAAATACARTGGTATTTCTTGGAGACATACTTTAAAATTTCTATATTCTTTTCATAAATTACTCCTTCTGAAATGACAGTATTTTTCTGAGAGATACAAAACTCTCATTTTTTTTCCAAGTCCATCTGCTGAATAAAATTCAGCCAGGCAGAGAAAATCTTGAAATAGCTAGCACAGTGAATTATGATGGAACAGCTAATTTGAAGAGAAAATATTCATTATACAAGATCTCTAAAGGGAATGGTCTGTATTAGAAACCAGTAGAAAACACCATGGAGGTGTGAATAACTCAATCCAAACTTTGATTGGCAAGTGTCTGGTGGTCTTAGACACATTGCAAATTATCCCCTTCCCCTTCCTCCTTTCTCCAGCAGAATCTTTTGGTTATAAAACACCAAATGAGCMATAATAGCCATTTTGGATGTCTTTAACCAGATCCCATATAGGTTAACTTTCCACACATGTGCCTTAATCAGCAAACCATACTGCCAATATGACACACAAGAATCCTGTCCCCATTTTTTGTAAAAGATACACTGAAAGGTGTCACGGATTGCTACGTTTCAGACAATAATGTACCATGAACAGGTTCATTGCTTTTCAGCAACAAGCATTACAGAAAAACTCCACACTGAATTCACAGCCAAAATGGGAGACATCCGCACAAGTGTCTGGCAAAACAATCCTTAAATCATATCATATAAACTATTTAATTCCTTTTGTTCTGTGAACAGAGGGGTGTTTGGGGAATAAGTTAGAATAAGAAACTGTAGTTATATTATTAACAAGCAGATTAATCACTTTAATAGCCAAAAACCTAATAACAGCAAAGAGAAATGATTCATAGCATGTGTCAGAATAATGCTAGTGTGAAATAATAAAATGAAAGGAGACAAATTGTCCCAGACAATGTTTCACTCCTGTGCAGTATTATTTAGTCTGYATTGTTAATCAAATTTGGCATGCTCACAATTTTCAAAAGGAAAAAGAAAAGAAAACAGGAAAAAAACACACACACTCCCAAGGCAGAAAAGGCAGGTATTAAAAACATTCTCATCGAACATGCAGGTGATTCAATGACTTATTTTTAGTCTAYTATTTTTTGCTCTTTCTCTAAATAAGATCATATTCATGATCTTAAAACATGTATTTAAAACATGCTCTAGCTCGCGCATGTCTGACAAGCTTAAGGCAATTAAAAGTCSAWCTGGCCCAGCCTTTTATGTRAATTAATGGCCRAGACAGCTCTATGTGCTATTTGGGGYCTTCTCAGCCATCTAGTTCACTTCCATTAAGAAAACAAAAAGAGAAGATAAAATGAGTAAAATATCTGTAACTCCAGACAGTAGGGGAAGCATCTCTGAAAGTAGCTGGCTGTAATTTTTTTTTAAAGGGTAATACTACGTTTTTCAGTAAATCATATAGACCTTTAATTCWGGTCAATTTGTATTCTGGCATAAGTTGAYACACAAAACATAGATCAATTCTTTMACAAGTACAGCTTTTCTTCACACYATTTAATAAAGCAAACTACTCTTAGGAGTAAACACAGATTTTATCTGCTCAAAAGGAAACTGAGTTGAATAGGCCTGTAACCTTCCCTGCAGGAAAGATGTTCAATATTCAAACATGTTTATAGGGAGCTCTCTGTTTTCAGGAAATACTATGTAATTGGAAATTAAATCCTTCCAGGTGACAAAGATACTCACAGCTAAGAGATGCACAGAAGTATTTCTGTAAACAATTACATTACAAAYACTTCTCTCTGCATCAGAATCTCGAAATAACTAAATACACACAGCACAGAGGGACACAAAACTATGGATGTTTGCTGTGAATTCTGTATATTAGCTACATGTACAGCAAGATAGTGCAAATGCTCTTAATGGCACAGCTAGTGACACTAGATAGTTTTATAACTGTGATTTTTTTTACTGAATTTAAGTGGCTTAATTCTGAAACAAGAAAAAGCTGTTTGGCTTCTGACATTTCAGCTAAGACGACCAAAGTTTCTTCCTTATTTTAATTAAACAGTTTCAGCATTGCTGCCAACACACAGCTAGGTGTAGGAAAGTGTCGCTTACCAGAAATGAACACTGAGTGGTGCTATTTGAACAGAAATGGATAGTATTTGGTCCTTAAAAGATTTGTGCTAAAAAACTTGAGTAATAACTTTTGGGCTTAAAAATAAACTGAGCCAGGTTTCGTATGAATTGCTGCCAAAACTGCCTGACGTTAACATGTAGCCCAGGTGTCCATGCAAAAAAAACCCATTTTCTATTAATCTTTTAAAATTTTCCAKCATTGAAGCCTTACAATAGCAAGCTTGCAAGAAAACCGTGACAGTTGTAAAGGGATTAAATGTGCTGTGCAAGGATCTACACCATCTCTGAATATCACTGGGTTAGACTATCTGGAAAATAACTAAACACATGGCAGAGTCACTTAGCTTAACTTACCATGCAGATTTCAAACCAAGATATTAAGAAACCAAAACGTTTACAATCAAAACATTCACCGGGTGCATTCACTCTCAGTAAACTTAAGAAACAAGTTTTTCACAATGAGGGTGGTAAGACAGTGGCACAGGTTGTGAGAAAAGCAGGGAATTTCAAGGTGAATGGGGTTTGGAACAACCTGGTCTGGTGAAGATGTCCCTGCCCATGATTTTAAGGATGCCTTTTAACCCAAACTATTCTATGATTCACAGTATTTACCAATAGTGCAGTGATAACGGAATAAACTCATTTGTTGTCTAATACGGAGTGTGAAAAGCAGGTGTCTGAGGAGGGGCACCGGACTGACCTGAGCTGCTCTTAACATTTGGTCTCTTCTCCGAGCAGTAGAACAAGARGAAACAACCTCAGGCTGCTCTGGTGAGCTTCAAACTGGAAACTGATCCATCTGAARGGCGGTTAAGCTCTGGAACAAGCGGCCCGGGGCAGCGGTGGAATCACGACCGCGGGAGGTATTTAAAAGACGCGTGATGTGGTACTGTTAGGCACGGTTTAGCGTGGAGTTGGCAGTGTCCTATATACAGTGGGATGGGATGATCTGCGAGGTTTTTCGCCATTTAAGCGCTCCAGGGTGCCCAGTCCCTCACGGCCGCGGGCCCGCCC